GATTCTGAGGCTCCGTCTAACATACTTTGGACATGTTGTGAGGAGAGACCGGTCCTTGGAGAAGGACATCATGCTTGGGAGGGTGGAGGGACAGCGCGGAGGGGAAGACCCTCTATGAGGTGGATTGATTCAGTGAGAGGGGTAACCGGGATGGGTGTGTCAGAGGCAGGGCAATTGGCACAGGATAGAGCAGGGTTTAGGGCTGTTGTACATAGGGTTGCTATGAGTCGCAAGTGACTCGATGGCACATAACAGCAACAACAAGAGACCCTAATGAAGACTGCTCAAAAAGGACCAAAGTCAGAGGAGGTGGAGGTTGGAGGTCAGGGCTGGCTGGGGTGGAGAAGAAATCTTGTTGGGTACAAGCCATCCTCGTCTCTCCCAGTTAGGAAACCCCTTCATACAGCATCTCTGCTCTTGGGTCAAAACTGGAAATGAGTTGGGTTGTTTACTCCTAATTTGAATGCTAAAACCTCCCTTTCTTCAGACCCACAGTCTTTCCCTCAAACCCATAGTTGCTCTGCCCTTTTCCCGGGAATGTAAGGAGGCGAGCCAGGTCTCCGTTCTCATCCTACATGACCTTCTTCCCCACAGGTGTCTGCTGGTCCTATGTCGGTCAGTCCTAGCCTGGGGCCAAGCCCCACGCAGGTGCCCACCGTGCCTGCTGGCGACTTGGCGGAGATCCACAACTGGAGCGAGCTGCTCTACTACTTTAACTACACCATGGCCAACTGCCATACGGAGCTCAACGAGAGCACCAAGCGTGTGGTCCTCTTTGTCCTCTACCTGGCCATATTCGTGGTTGGGCTGGTGGAGAACCTGCTGGTGATATTCGTCAACTGGCGCTCCTCCGGCCGGGCCGGGCTGCTGAACCTCTACCTGCTCAACATGGCTGTCGCAGACCTGGGCGTCGTGCTGTCCCTGCCCGTGTGGATGCTGGAGGTCACACTGGATTACACCTGGCTCTGGGGCAGCTTCTCCTGCCGCTTCACTCACTACTTCTACTTCGTCAACATGTACAGCAGCATCTTCTTCCTGGTGTGCCTCAGCATTGACCGCTATGTCACCCTCACCAAAGCCTCACCCTCCTGGCAGCGCCACCAGCACCAAGCGCGACGGGCCATATGTGCAGGTGTCTGGGTCCTCTCAGCCATCATCCCACTGCCTGAGGTAGTCCATATCGAGCTGGTGGAGAGCACTGAGCCCATATGCCTGTTTATGGCACCCTTTGAGAGCTACAGCGTATGGGCGATGATACTGTCTCTGTTAACCACCATCGTGGGCTTTCTGGTCCCCTTCCCTCTGATTGTTGTCTTCAATGTGCTCACGGCCTGCCGGCTCCGGCGGGCAGGGAAGCTCGAGAGCCGGCGCCACTGTCTCCTGGTGTGTGCCTATATAGCCGTCTTCGCCATCTCTTGGCTGCCCTACCATATGACCCAGCTGCTGCTCACACTGGACGGGGACCAAATCGCCCTCCACTGCTACACAATCCACATGCTCTACTTCTTCTATGACGTGATCGACTGCTTCTCCATGATTCACTGTGTCATCAACCCCATCCTTTACAACTTTCTCAGCCCAAGCTTCCGGAGCCGGCTACTGAGTGTGGTGGTCCATTACCTTCCCAAGGACCAGGCCAGGGCGGGTGATCAGGCTTCCTCCTGCTCCACTCAGCATTCTATCGTCATTACCAAGGAGGGTGTGTCCCCAGCTTCTGGGACCCCCACGCCACCCTCTGCCAGGCCTGAACTCTGAAGCAGTCTCTTTGCCTCCAGATACCTCATCCACCTCCACACCCCAATCTGTGTCCTGTGGAGGTCAATTTGCGTGTCCAGCAGTGAAGTGGAAAAGCTGAAGATGAGGAGAGAGGTTTGAGGGGGACAGGGGAATGGGTCTGAGCACTCTTGGTTACTTCTGAATGTATCTTAAAATATCAAGGTGGGGAGAGGGAAAGGGATGGGTCCGAAAGCAAAGCCTGGGAGCTGTACGGTTTGTCACAGTCCTTGCATCTAAGGGAACTAGTGCGGGAGGCGGGATGGGGAGAGGGAAAATAAATAGATGGCTACAATTCTGAATCTCTGTGCTTCCAGCTGGGCTTGGGAAGGGAGCACAAGTTAAAGAGATGTTCCACAGAGGCAACTGGACACCCTCATTTCATAAATCAGCCCAGCCAGAAAGAGCAAGCTCCCCAGGAACCTTCCTTTCGTGTTTGTGTACTTGTTGATCTTCCAGCACATCATGCAGGTCAAGGGGAAAAGAGGCCAGAGGCCAACCAGCCAGGCAACCTCAGCAGGAGAGCAGGACAACCTCAGTGCTGTGATAAGTGGAGGGGGTGTGGTAGGCCCAGGGCAGAGGCAGAAGCCTGCAGCTGGGCTCTCCACCACCTCTCCATCCAGGAAACAGAGTTCCATTTCCTTGCCATTCCCTCCCCTTCTCTTATCCTGCTCCCCTCACCCCACCCCATCACAGAAGCAAAGAAACTGCCCCCAAAAATTCAAACCAATGCCCTTCAGACCTAACCTCCTCCCAGCTTTGAATCTAGGACATTACCAGACATCTTCCAGTAAGAGGTGCAATCAGAAATAATATCATCTCTCCCTTCCCCCCTAGATCACAGGAAATCATCAGGGGACATCCCTTGAGAATGTTCACAGGCAACAGGAAAACAACTTATTTTGGGATTAGGCCCTGGGACAGCCAGTAATACTCATGGGACAAGAGTTGGTCTCTTGCACCAAGACAAATTTTCCAATTCTATCACAAGTTATCTAAATCAGCTCTCACCCTTGTGCTTCTTTCTCCTTGACCAAGTCTTCCTAATTTTCCTATCCTTCAACTTTATCTGTTAACACTTGCCCTAAAGATTTAAGAAGTACTCTGTTAACAAAGTCTTCCAGAAAAGGTTCATATATGTTTGTAAAATTATGACCATGTCCCACAAAAAAAAAATTCTGGCTTAAATTTTCTGCTTTACAGCACCAAGTCTTTGGTCTCTTAATCCTCTTTCTGAAGGGATTGTGGACATAATCACTGACATGTTATTTATTGTCTCCTCAGTCCTGCTCAAGCACTCAGCTTCTCTGGAATATTTAATAGCCACTCACTTACCTGGAGAGCGGTCTCCTCTGTTCTCGGGAATCTGTTACTGTGTTCATCACGTAGATTAAGCATGCGCTTCAACAGTGTAGGTTCCCACATTTGCAGGAACTTAAGAAACCTATACCTCTATGCAATCCTTCTGCTCACTGTTCTCTTCACCTGAGGGTCTTAAAACAAAAAGAGCTCTTTGGGCTCTTCAGCTGCTTGTTGAACCAGGAGAGGAAGGGCTTAACATCACAATGCAGAAACTTCATTTAAAATGTAACCATCGGGGAGCTCTGGTGGCCTAGTGGCAAGGAGCTGCAACTACAATCTCAGAGGTGCACGGTTCAAATCCACCAGATGCTCTGCTGGGGAAGGAGGGACAATCTCCTCCTGTACCAGTCAGATCTGATTTGACAGTACACTCACACAAAAATAATTTTTAAAAAAAATGTAACCATCCCTTAGCCCTACTTAAAAATTAAGCTAAGACTTCGTGTCTGTATCATTGCCTCCTGATTTGGGTTCCAAAAGTTTTCCCAAAAGAAACCCAATTGTGCATCTGCCACATCCTATACCACCTAAGAGGTCTGCTCAAGAACTTGTTCTTTCCACAGAACAACCCAGCAATTAATTATTACCAACACACCCTAAATAATTCTCTGGGGCCTTTCCTTCCAGAGAAGGTGAGAAATGGTTATGTTGACTACAACACTTGTGTTGAGCTCACATTTACAAGTACTGAGGGGACCCAGGATGGAGCCTTATGAGACAAGATGGCAGGATCACTCCTTATTTCTAGAGGTCTTATCTTCTTGGGAGAATACACCTGCATCAGTCTCATGAAGTTACACCAAATCTTTGCCTCCTCTCAGTTTTAATCATCTGGTGACATACCAATTAAAGAACAGCTGCTAACCAAAAGGTCAATGGTTTGAACCCTCTGGCCATTCCACAAGACAAAGATGAAGCAATCTGCTTCTATCAAGATTTTTAAAGCCTTGGAAATCCTATTATCCTTAGTGTCACTGAGTTATAATCAACTAGCTGGCACTGGTTAACTCCTCACACTTTCCACCAGCCCCTCTCCACTCACCCATATCAGGCTACAGTGAATTAAGCAGTATTGGCAAGACAATTTGTGGGTCAATCTCTCACTTAATAATGTCCAATCCAACTGCCCACAGCTGTCTCTGGGCTGACAAAATGCATCCCCATGAAAAGGCTGGATCATTGACTTAATTTCCAGTAAAAACCAATTAAGGGGCTAATCCTGGGGAATTCCAGCCACAGGAAAGAAAAATGAGCTACCTGAAAGAACTCTGGCATCTGCTGAGAATACTACTACCGCAAGTGATGAGCTCAGACACTGAGCTCAAGGTGTGGAATGTTCACAGGCAAGAGAAAAAGAATTTACGCTTCCGTTTTCTTTTTTTTATTCTAAATAAAAAACCACACTTTGTGCTGAACAATGGAATATAAAAGAATCAGATGTACAACGATTTTAGACATCTACTATTTCAGGGGGGAAAGTTTACAAAATATACAAAACTTTACAGCAATAGATAGTAAACACTTAAATATTAGGAGGTCAGTACTTATTATTAATTCAATGGAAGGAGTTAGACTTTAACAACTCTTCTGCTTCAAAGAAGAACCTTCAACTATCAGAGGTGAAGGGGAGGGCGAACTGGGCAGAAAAGGACTATTAGAGAAACATCAACATCAAAACAAATTTCAGTTTCATTCTGATATGATGTTTACCATAAGAGTAAGCACAAATGGAAACTAATGCTGCATCCCCTGCTTCCTGACATTCCTAGGACTGAGGGGAAAGGTTGTGAGGATACTCGTGGATGGACTCTCCACACGTCTCACTCGATGCCAACACTCAGCGTGTCCATCTTCAGATTGCTATACACTTTCCAAGTTGAGTTTGGTGAAATGATGCATAGCAGGAGGTCAGAGAGTTAGTTGGCTGGGAAGAAAAGTTATCAGTAGCACAAACTCCACTAGGGAGCAGGTATTTAAGCGTAAAAGCTTGTTCTGGGACAAAGGAGTATGAACAATCAGAAGTAAAGCCAGAACCTTTACCCATTGCCTGGTTCTTTGGGGTTACCTGTGCTAGACACTCACCTCTTCCCAACTAGCCATAAACTACAAAGACTCCAAGGGGTCTTAAAAGTTAGGGCCAAATACTAGGTACAGCGGAGCTCTCCAACTAGTGCTTTGGTACCACTGCGCCACGACTCCTCTGATCACAAGAAGCATCCACAGTTTACCCGGGTAGGCCATACAGCACTACCATTTTCCCTCAGGAAACAAGTTAGGAAAGCCCTGTGCTTGGTTTCATGATCTACTATTGCCATCTTGAGGTTCCTGATAATTTCTGAACAAGGGGTCGGAAAATGATGTAGACAGTCCTAATTACAGAGCATGAAAAAGAAAAGGCAGGAAGGACATTCAAGGGTCAAACAGAACCTCATCGGAGTAAAACAGCAGGAGACACTGCTGAGCTGGGCTCCTGGAGAAATCAAACAGACAGAAGGTTAAAAAAACAGAGAGACTCAAAATAAAGCAAATGCCTTCTCGTGTGCATCCTATAGTGCCTACCGCCATCACAATGTTTCAAGTAAGAGTCAAAAAAAGGGGTGCTAAAAAAAGGGGGTGCTAGAGGCAGAGGAAGTAAATCTAACTTCAAACAGAGGGAAGAGTTCATGACAATGAGGGGTTAGGGGATTTGGTCACTGAGCCTAGTGAGCTCCTGATCCTGCTACACGTCAGACTGGGACCAAGCGCACCATCCTGATCACTCAAGGGGACTGTGGCCTGTAAGGGGCCAGGGCCTCCAATCTTTTTAGTGTTTCAAGGATTTGCTTTTTGGTTTACTGGCAAAGAGGGAAAACTTCACAGTTTCAGGTTAAGTTAGTACACAGACCACCCAGCATCCAAGATGCCTTCTGTTAAGGAACAGTTTCTCCAGCTACTTAACTGGGTCTAGTTAAGTACCATCTC